CCCCCCCATGGCAGAGCCCCTGCAGAGGGACACACCTCAGCGAGACGCCGCTCACCGCCTGGATCTCCACCTTCTTCTTGAGCACCTCCTTGATCTGCCCCTTCTCCGGCCCCTTCTTCACCTTCTCCCGCCCGATCAGGTAGAAGCACTTGGGGGTGAGGATGAAATCCCGCTTGATGGGCTGGGAAAAAGCAGGAGAAGGGGGTGAGGGGGGGGCTTTTGGTGGGGGGCACGAACCTCTCATGCATCCCACCCAAGGGCAGCCACGACAAGCCATGACTTGGCCTCTCCCAAGCCCCGAGTGGCTCCACGCACCTTGGACCTCCGGTCGTACTTGGTGATGGAGTCGGCGAAGTCTATCCGCTCCCGCTTGGCCAGGAACTGGCGCAGCTCCGGCCGCTCCTCCATGCCCAGGTAATCGCCCACAAAATTCCTGTTGATGCTGTTCCTCCTCCGCTCTTTGAAGTTGTAGAGGATGTTGGAGGCTGTACGGGAACCCAGAGAGATGTTGGTGGGATGGGGCTCAGCACCAGTGGCTCAGCCCTCGGCTCAGCCCTCAGTCCCTCCCAAACCGGCCGTGGGAGGCAGTGCACTGTGACAGCAAGAAAGGGGCTCGTTTTATACCACAGGAAGAATCTGAGCTGCTTGAGCTTGGCTGGCTTTGAAACCCATTAGTTGCCCTCCAAAAAAATAGTGGAAGGGAGGGACCCAGCTGCTTTCGGGGTCTGCCCCCTGGGTTTTTCACTGCAGGCTTGGGAGGGTGGGCAATGCCCATGGTGGGGTCAGACGGTGACCGCTGGCCTTTCCTGTCCCTCTGCAAATGCTGACTCAGCTATTCCTCTGTCTCTGTGCAGGCTATTCCTCTGTCTCGGTGCAGGCAATGAAATGCAGAGCGAGACAGCCAGAGGCTCCAGTTTCTGTCCTACAGCCCCTCCCACAGCTGGAAATAGAATCGCAGAGTCACAGGATGGTTTGGGTGGGAAGGGACCTTAAAGCCCCCCCAGTGCCACCCCCTGCCATGGGCAGGGACACCTCCCACCAGCCCAGGTTGCCCAAAGCCTCATCCAGCCTGGCCTTGAACCCCTCCAGGGATGGGGCATCCACAGCTTCTCTGGGCACCCTGGGCCACTGCCTCACCCCCCGCACAGGGAAACATTTCTTCCTCACGTCTCATCTCCATCTCCCCTCTTCCAGCTTAAAAAAGCTTAAAATAGGAGCAAGAAATCCACACCCTCCTTTAAGATGTAGGACAAGACCCCAGGCATCTCATGGTCCAGTCCCTCCTCACTCCCCTTCTCGTTAGTGCCACAATGAGGAGCTGGGCTGTCCCCAGAGCCTGACACCCTAAAAAAGGGTGCTGGGGTGCTGGTGTCCCCATCCTCGCTCAGCCTTACCCTCCTCTCGCATTTGCTCATACTTCCGGATGGCGACGTGCCGGCGCCAAGCTTTCTGGATCACCCGAGCAAAGCCATCAAATTTCCGCTCCCGCATCTCTTCCAGGAGGAAAAGCTGGGAAGGGGACACGGGGTGCTGAGCCTGGCCAGCCAGGGGTCCCCCAGCCCCCCCTGTGCTGCATCACTTCCCCCACCTGTTGGTACCTCAACCCCTCCCCTGCGTTGCCCAAAGTGATGCTCGGGTGCGTCCCCTGTCTCCTGGGGGACGCTGGGTTCGGGGTGAGGGACAGGGTTTGGGGTGAGGGACAGGGGACAGAGCCAGGCCACCTACTGATTCGGGGTTCTTGACAAACACCTTGCTCCGACCCATCTGGTACTGGTCTGGGTCCATGTTGACAGAGCGCAACAAGTGCTGCACCCCTTGCCGCTCGTCCCCGCGCCAGGACGGCCA